CACGACACATTATTTTCCAAACTAGTCACTGTCTTTCAATTTTGTCAAATTTTGTTTGTGAGTAGGGGATGTGGATTTGAAAATTCACATGAAATCCTAACCGTGTTGTAAACTTGTAAACCTTATATTGCCTCCAATCATTGAACTATGATAATCATTTCCATGACGGCTATTGTTCAGTGTTGAAGGACGAAGAGAATAAAACATATCATTTTTAACATTAGAAACTACAAGGTAAAGTTCGTGCAAGTATAGGAATAAAAAAAGTAATTAAATCTAAATTAAATTTGATATTGTTCCTTGGAAGGATAGATTCCTATGTGTGCAAGACATGTTGTCCACCAATAAGATTCAAGTTTGAACTTGAGGCATTAAGACTCACTCCCACGTAAGAAAATGATTTCTCACTATTTTTTCATTTCTTAAACTTTTTGAAAAAATTAATAAGTTGGTGAATACTTTATAATGCGTTACAGTTATACTTTTAAAACTTTAGTAATGAAAAAAATAAAGAGAAAATGAAATGAAGAGAATCATAACTCTATATATAAATGGATGTTTCTTAAAATAACACTCTCAGAACCCTCATAGTGAAGTCATCAAATGGCAACTTCACCTTCAGATCTCGGAACAAACAATCATACGTGAAGAATGAATTCATGTTAGCTGCATGTTTTCCCAAGAAGACATAATCAAGATTCGGCAACACATTATTTCGGCAAGCCATGATGTTGATTAGATAGGGGTCTTTCGAATCTTTAAATGTCAAAAATTTTGTGTATTCTAGCAAGTTGGCCACCACCTGAGTATCCCAATATCGTGAGAATGAGGTTGTCACCTCTTCATTTACCCAAGTAAATTCAAGCACAAAGCCGACCCATATTACTTTCAGCTAGACAACTGTTTACGCATTGGACAAATAGTCAAATCACTACTAGAAGCCTCTTCTAGGCTTTCTTCCTTGTCCCCTCAACGCACTATGGCCTCATTCTCAACGACAACCACTTCAAGATCACCTTTAACCGACCTCATATCCCCACCTATGTTACCACTTGATAACTTAGACGACAACGACAATAAATCTGAAAATTTGGATGACAGTCCTAAGATACACAACCTTATCGAAGACTCTTCATTCGAAGCATGATTGGACCCTCAACCATTATAGTAAAACTAAAAGATTAACGTACTAAGTCAAATGTTGATTGACTCGGTTCAACAAACACAGTAAGATCGCTCAGTTTTAGACAGAAATAGCAATGGTGGAAGTGGACTCCACCACACTCATATTTATAGTACTTTCTCATGAGAAGGTGAAGCGACCCCACTCAACATAATTGTTAGATCTAAGCGATCCAACGATGCACAACGTGCAACTCTTCATCTCAACTATTTCAAAAAACATAACTGACGTGACAGTCTGTAATGATGTTGCCCACCCCTATGGTTTATCTCAATTTTACCCTTGTTCAAGTTCTCTTTCCAAGGTTGGGAGGCATGTATACCAGACAGGTCATTCCACCACCTAAAACCAACAAAATTGGGATCCATTGACACCCTCGGTAACCAAAGGGATGTGTAAATAAATGCAATCCTTCGGCACCCTCGATAGTTGAAAGAGTTGAACCACTTGAATCAATACTTTCGGCATCCTTGACAATCGAAAAAGCTATAAGAACAAGCTCGATTCGTCCCTTTGGTAACTTCGGCAATCGAGTGGTTTGAGATGAATATGAACGTTTAGTTCGACCAATCCCGTTCAACCTTTTGGTAGCTTATATGGTCAAACAACATGTAAAACTCATAAGTTATGATAACCAAGATGATTAATGTTTAATCATTGGTATGAATCAATTATCGATGTATTACTTAATTGGCAACACCCTAACTTACGACCCATTGAGATTTAGACTCATTATGGTCCGTATAAATAGTTTGTATCTCGAGGTAAAACTATTATTTATTAGTTGCATTTAATACATTAAATAAGTAACTTACTTGAGCATTAGAGTACCTTTTGCAGGTGCACCCCCCTCAACATAGACAAGTAACCAGATCAGAGAGTGAACAAGAGTGAATGCATCAGAAAGAGAGTGAAAGAGAGAGAGAGAAGTATCTTCTAGCATGTACTTTTCTAGCAAGTACAAATCTCTAACACAAAATACTCACCTAGAGAAAAACATGAAATTCAATTACAATCAAATATTTACTTAAAGAATAACACGAAATGCAATAAAATGAAATTTTATCAAGTTTAATAAGACTTAACTTGTAAGTATTAAATAAATATAAAATTTTATTCATTTCAAATTGTCCAACTAAATAATTCACGATTCAATACAAATTGATTAAATCAATTTAATCATTTGTATTGAATCTCAAAAGATAAACTAAAATTCACATAGTGTACATAAATTTAATATCAAATATATTTTTTTAAAAATAAATAAAGCAACATATAATTAAATAACATACTAAAAAACAAATTTAAAGTATATAATAGGGTACCTAAATCTCTGTATATAAGGCACCTAATTATTCTATATATTAAGTGCCTAATTAATTATAAGGTACCTAATTAATTTATAGTGAACTCACTAAAAATTTAGTGATTTTTTATTCTAAAATAAATTAATTAATATATAGTAATTTTAACTTATATTTATTTATAATGTACCTAATTAATTAAAAACTTTATTGATTATATATTTATTTCTAAGTTATTAATTTTTAACTAACTTAGAGTGAGCTAACTTAAGTAACTTTTAACTCACTAATTTTTAGTTTATTTTGCTAATTTTTAATTTTTTTAATATAAGGTATAAGGAATAATGAAACATTTATTCATCACTTACATTCACATTCAATACAGCAACACTCATACCTAAATAAGAGAGTGAACGGGGCGACACTACAAGTGGAAGAAACGAAAATAAAAACACAAGAATAAGGGTACAAGTCTGATACACCCAATATATAACAGACATACAACATCAGTTGGTAAGAGGTAACTAATAACCACCTATAAAATCTGTTACTGGAGTAACCAATTTTGTATGTCATATGTTAAACATACAAAATCAAAACTATTTACATACAAAATCAACTTTATTTACAAAAATACCAGCTTCTCACATTTAAAATCGGTTGCTTCAATGGGTAAGAAGGATTAAAGAGGCAAATGTTGTCGGTTTTGGTTCTGGGGTATCCATCTGCTTGTGCTAAATTTGTTCATGATGAATTGGCCACACCCGTTCACTGCTTTCACCTCCCAAATAAAGATAATAGCCTGAAATGTTCACCAAACCTGCAATTGGTATGCTCCTCCTCTCAACGCAACTGTTTTAGGAGCTTTTGCAAAAGGGAAGAACGCGTCACACTCACACCCCTTTCTCAGGTATAACATGGCAAGTTGATTATTTCTCATGCCAGATACCCTCTCATTCTTATGCAATCATCGAAGCTAATATTTTTCTTGTTTTTATTATGGCAAATTACAGGGGTTCTCAGCCTTGCAAGAGGATGATAGTCCATGGGAGAGTGGGAATGTATGGACCAATCTTGCACTCTATCTATTCACTCTGCATATCCCTTTCAGCTTTGGAGGCTTATCCGTGGTTGCCCTATTTACTGGACAGCCTGTTCTTGACCCACAAACTGAGGTCACCTCTATTAATTATTTATCAAATCATTGGAAATTTTATATCGACTAATCATAAGCCAAGATATTATATATAAGTAGGAACAATTCTTTCCTTATATGTCAATTTTAAGTTAGAGACATTCTGAGATGATATTATGATATCAAAGTCTATTCTAGCTATTGTTATTAGTCTATTGGGTCACCCGCTTTCATATCATTAGTAGACCATTTGCAGATTTTCAGTGATGTAAACCTTATGCTTGAGATGTTCAATTTTTAGCTTCCGGAGTGTGTGTTGGAGATCCCATGTTGACCACCGATAAAGCTTAAATAGTGTATATAAATGAAGACAACTTATGGAGTTAAATTAGTTTCAAACTCACATTTTAAGATTTATTATTTCTTACAGTCATTAGAGTCAATCCTAAATCCTCCAAATATCAAGGTGATACTATGTTAATACTCTAAAGGTTTTGATTATTTAATTAGTTCCTTAAGAAATTATCGTGTTACCACATTATTACTCAAAATGTTTTATCACCAAATTGGAACTTCAAATATATATCACTATGATCTTACTGAGTAATATAGTGGCAACACCTTAACTCTGATTGAGAGGGACTAGCTGAGGACCAAAATCTTTCAAAGATTAATGTGGAATAAGGTAGATGATTTACTCTATATTATCATTGCTTTAATAGATATAAATCAACAGTAATTATTTTTTTAGTTCTCACTTCTGCGTTCTGCTATATTAAATTGGAAGTTTCTTTATTAAGGTTTGCACTTTGTTGTGTCCCACTTGTTCTTGTGCTTTTATGTTCACTTGTCTAGTGTCTGCATCAGCGGTTTTAAAGGTGTGCAATAGAGCATCAACCGGAATGTGTTTCTATGGGATATATACTATAAATGGTCATTTATCTTTACATTTAATTCATGGTCTGAATTTACATTCTGTCAGAGCTTAGGTTCATTGATTCACAATGTTTTGGCTTTTGAACAGAAATTTTAACAATCTATATTCATTCAATGATGCAGGCCTTATCATTTCTCACTATTCAGATTCTTGAGCTTAGTGGGGCCCTGTTTTTATTGAAGTAGACGGCTAAGCCACAATACAAGTTGTCAAATTTCTTCGAAAAGAACAAATTATTGAGCAACAGGAGCTGGTTTTTGTCATCTGTTCTGGGATTTGGGTTTCTTGTTCTTTTGATTTTCCTAACCTCTCTACTTGCAGACAGATTGTTTGGCTCCAAGGTTAGTGATTATATTTTTTTTTCCGGGTAATTTCTTGTCATTTGCCTAGAAAAATAATATAAACTATATGTCTAGCAGATTTGTCATAATTCTTCTCACATTATCCTTGCTGCTTGCATAGCTTTCATAGTAGAACAATAAGTAGCACCATTTAACTAAGGGGGGTTGTTTTAAGGATTTACATAATGAGTAGTGTTTGCAAAGAAATAGTTTATGAGAGTAAACAAGCAAAGGCTAAGGTGAATGATGGAACGACTGTGAAAATTATGAGATTGGTCTGACTGAGATCCAGAGGGATGACGCCCTGAGTTGTGTGAGATTTATAGGAGATTGGGAATATTTATATGAAGGGAATAGATAATTTGTCTTTATTTTACAAATGCCTTGTCATGCTATTTTTGCATAGTTTACTTGGAGCAGCGCACTAGCTGAGGTGGTGCATGCTACGGCTTCCTCATATCTTAATGATGAGTCAAAGTAGAATGATCAAATATTTTGGTTGCATTTGTTAATCGAGAAAAATAGTATTTAAGGAGAGGTATTGATAGCTTGATGGATCAAACATGATTGAAGAGGTGCTTCTTTACCATTCCATGTCAAGGGATTCCCATTGGAGATCCCTTCACAGGGTTTTATTTATTTTACCATGCCACTGAAAGCATTATTCCTAAAACAAAAGGTTTTGACTCCCAAGAGGTTCCCTAGGCTTTCTCAATGCACATGTAGGACCTCAAGGAACCCAATTCCTTTTCTAGTTGCTTAGCTCTCTCGAGGTGTCCTGTAAGTGCAAGGAATCCTCAGGATTTAAGCTTCCTCAAGGAGCATGGTCTCCTCTGTAAAGCACAATGTGTTATTATCCTACACCGGGTGAGTCTTATTAGTTTGACATCTCAAGGTACCTTCGTTGCTATATGTCTTCATCAAAATCTTTGTAAAAACACATGGTTATAGATTGGAAACGTTGAGAATCTTCTTTCAAACCCCATACCGTTTAATAACAATACTGCTTTAGGTAGTGAATCAGAAAATGGTATCATTATTTATTTATTTTCTCCTTATAAACATATTTTCTTTACAATCATTAATTTATTATTTTATTATGCATTAGTATACAGGTGTGATTGATAAACCTTGTCTCAATAAAATGTCCTACCTGATCATGGAAAATACCCCACATTTTCAAGTTGTACCAGGCATTCCTATGCTAGCCCATGCAGGTAATGTGAGTAAGGGGAAAAGAGGGATTTGGGCTATAACAAACTTGCTTACATGGAAACAGGTGTGGGAAGCAATGGGGTAAAGCTACAGGCTGTGTGGAATATAAGGGAAAATGAAAGATTTAAGCAATATTGACTGAGGATTTAAGAGGTAGACTATAGATCTCTTCAATGTCACGTGTTATCTTTTTCTTTTCTGTATTGACTCGAGTCTTGAGGAATTCTTAAGGTCTACCTCTGTTGGAAGGTGGTAATCTTCAAATTTTCTTAAACAAATCCAAGTTGCTATCAACTACCATTTTGAAAAATGAAAAGTACTTTTTTATAGGGGAAACAGAGAAGAGAAGGGGAAATTTGAAAATGAGAAGTAATAAACGAATTTATTGTGTTTGGCATCTGACTTAGAAGTTAGTTAATGCACTAAAGGAGCTAATTATATGGCTAAATTTGAGTACTGTAACTTTTTTTTTTCAATAGGTTAGACCAGTTTCTACACACCTTATTAAAGTTAAAAGATGTCTAAAATTGTTATGCATTCCAACATACCCAATATCCAGTATTATTTGATATCAAAATTTTGCACTTTACTGTGTGAGCTGTGGAATGTGTCATTATCGTTTATCATGATGCTTAATAAAAGCACTGTTATAGCAAACCATGGAACTATCATTTCGTCCATCCCCTTCCTACCAAACCTCATGATTTTGTATGTAGTTATTCTAAAACTTGCAATATTTTTTTAAACTCTACCTTACCAATGATGGTGTTTTCCTTTATCTTTACTTTTACCATATGCATGCAGCCTGTTAACAACCCCATACTGAAGGACATGCTCCTAAATAGTGACATCTCAAGAGTTTCTTGTGTGCTTGCTTATTGCATTGTCACTCCCCTTTTGGAAGAGATTGTTTATAGGGGATTTCTTTTGACGTCACTTTCCTCCACCATGGAGTGGCAACAAGCTGTTGCCATAAGCTCAGTTATATTCAGTGCAATTCACTTCTCTGGTGAGAACTTTTTACAATTGTTCATCATTGGGTGTGTCCTTGGATGCTCTTATTGCTGGACTGGGAATTTGAGTTCCTCCATTTGTATACATTCCTTGTACAATGCTTTGACCTTAGTAATAACTTATTTTTATTAAATTATATATTTAACAAAATGATTGAGCAAAATTGTTGGCATACTTTATTTATTTTCCTTTAAAGGGTTCTGATATATAGGTCGATGACTTTGGATAAATTTGTTGATGAGTCATCATTTGTCTTTCTTAGCTACGGAGTAAGCAATGCTACTAGATCCTTCTGACCCAATAAACATTTATTTTTTCACTTTCAAGAGCTTGAATGTGAAATGGAAAAATTATTGAGAAGTCATTTTAAACGGAAGCAAACACATTATTAATTGTGTATATAAAATTTGATATACACAATTAGCAAAACAATATCACTTGATTCAAATGACTGGATCGATTAATTTTGCATTTTAGAAAAAATATTAAATGGTCTAAGTACATAAATTTGATATTGAATTAATTCCTGTACCATTATAATCTTGTATAGGGAATTTTTAATGTCCATCCTCTTGCGTACAGGGTGTTATGAAATTCTCGGTTTATATTTTTAATTAATCTAATAAGAATTTTGTTCTTATTCATTTAGCCTTTTTCTTTTTAAGGAAACACAATTATTTCTCCGTAGTAGATTATGTCTGTCATCATATTTTTGCTGCCGTTTGTCCCCTTCAAACCAAATTGGGTCCACTGTTCAGAAACTAATTTTCTGTGACTTAGATTTCCCTTCTTCTTTTCCTTTTAAATTTTAAGTATTTAATCATGAATATGCAATTACTTTGCCCATCTCATTTGGAAGCAAGAGTAAACAAACATGAATATTAACCACTTAATTACTCGTTAACTAGTGATTTGGATATTAAAGATTTGGATTTTTTAATATACCAGTGTTGATTATTTTCATAATAATTTTCCTCAAGTTGGTGGACAGCAGCTACATAAAGCTGGAGCACATTCTACCCAAATCATAATATTTAAACTTTTCATTTTCCTTTTTAATTTGAGATATTATCCTTCTTTCCATGGCATAAATTCAAATAGAGAGGAATGTTTGGCAGGTACAGAAAATATTCAGCGTTATTCAACTTTATTACTGAAAAAACTAATATATATGCTTATCTTGTTGACTTCACAATCAAATACGTATCTTCCTTCGCATTCCAGCAAGGCTAGCGAATCAATCATTCTGGAGTCTAGACACTCTCTTTAAGTCTAGGCTGGATTTATGCTTTCATGTGGTAAAGTTATTGTTGATTTTTTTTTTATGACTATATTATTAGTATAAAATAGTTATTAACTTTATTTATAACTAAGTTTTTTCAACTATTCTACAAAATTTAAACTCAATCTTATTTAAGAAAATCAAATCTAATTCAGGTGGAACTAATTACTTGTTTATCAGTAACATTGCCATTTATTAGGTCTTTGTTTTTCTTTTTCATCATTTTGAGGAGTTATTTTCTCTCCATTAATAGGTAAATGAAAGAATAGTTTATCAAATCAAATGGAAACTCCTTTCTTCGAAGATGACAGTTTATTTTCACATCAAACAACCCCTCTATTCTCACATTTAATAATTCCTTTTTTAGTAACTTTCCTTAACTTGAGGTGCCGTTTGTACTAGGAAATGAAAAATGATTTATTGAATAAAAACATAAATATAAATATTAATGTATTAAAATATTAATATTTAATTAATTCGAATAATAATTGCTTTAACTCTTAACAAAGAGTCATATTCAATTATTCATATACACCGATGATACGTACTAACAAAATCCTTCTCATTCTTCTTTATTTATTTTGTTTACTTTGTCCAATCACACCTTGCGTGCGTGTGTGTGTGTTCTATGTGTTGGACATCTAGTGGGTGAGGGGGTTATTTATTCATTGAAAAATTAACTTCCTCTTTTAAAACAAAAGATAGACATGCAAACAAATAACATAATGGGTACATGGATTGATGGTTGATTGAACGAGGAAAGAAAATGATAGAATGATGCAAAATATTTTTTTAAAATTGTTTACATAATGACAATAATATTTTTAAGAAATTAAAATGAAAAGTCATTAATTTTTAAAAGACTAAAAACAATAATTTCAAAATTTAAAATTCTAAAACCAAAATCAAAAATCAATTATTATATAGGAACTAAAAATACACAATCAAAAAATTAATTTATAGAATAATAAAATTCAAATACATTTAACATAAAAAATCAACTAAAAGTCATACAATAATTTCTTCACCCTATGCGCTAGCCTGGAGTCACTTTGGTTTGAGATGTGTCAGCATTACTACATACAATACAACCTTAGCTTTGCACTCACATGTCCCCACACACTGATGGCCAACGTGGTCTCTATGCTTATCCCGCAATCAACGTAGGCATCAAAGGACGACTCAGATGAATTTTTATATCAACGGCACCAACAGATCCTCGCCACGTGTCCGGTGATGCGTTGGATCCCACTAGCCCTCTTGGTTTAAACTTTAAAGTGGTTTTTTCTCTTCTTCTAGCACCTTGTAGTATACAACATCACCATTCACCAATTGTTTTGTTCTAACTCTCTCAGCTTTCTCTCTCTAAGACCTTTTTCTTTTGCTAGCATGGCTGGGTTTGAACAGCAGATGAAGGACAGAGCCAGGGAGCTCAAGGTGTTGCTCAAGAAAGGGGTGAAGATTGTTGGAGATTCATGCAAGAAAGGGTGGAACAAAGTCAAACATATCAAACGCTAATAGTTATGTAATGTAATTAATCATTTGCATGCCTTATCTCAATCTCACTTTATTGGTATTGTTTGTATTCTCTTCATAGGTTTGGCTTCCATATATATGGAATGTAGTCCTTCTATTTTTTGGTCCCTCTCTCCCTTGTGGGGTTGTTTTTGTCTCTTCTTAGGGATATAATTTTGGTGTGTCTGAGTTTGTTTGTTTGTTCTGTTAAATCTAAAATTTTGTTTATATGATTATTCTATATGTTCTTCTTCTGGATTGCTATTTAAGGTTGCTAGTGAGGAGCCAAGTACCAGATCTTGGTGTTTCTTTTGATTCAAGTTGTGTGATATCTTTTTTTTTCTTTGTGTTCTTAGTTTATTTAGTAGTTATTTGAAAGTTAAATGGTTCGGGATCCGGATGCACCACCCAATAGCTTTTTTTTTTTTTTTTTTTTCCCAAAATTATGTGTGTGATTTAACTTGGGAAGCTTGCATGAGTACAGATATATAGCATCATCATGCGTGGGTTAAAGATGGTAGTTAAAATAATATATGCAGATTTTTAAATTCGATAACTAGTTATGAATTTGAAAAAAGAGTATGAAACTATATTAACTATTTGTCTATTTGGAAAGAGAGTTTTTCGCCCTCTTATCATGATTCAAACGTAATTATTTCTAATAAAAGATGCTTGGCCTACAAAAAAAAAATAGTGAAAAAATAAAAGTCTAGCAAACAACACAGATTGAATCCATATCCTGTAAAAGTTTTGAAGGTTTTGATGTGAACAGTTTTGTCCTTCATTCATTTGGATTATGTGTTTGGAAAAGTTGACTATCGGAGCAATTATACTTTTGGGTTTGAAGAAGGTGCGAGTGAATAGAGAGACAAGCTTTAGCCCCCAAATCATGATGAATTATGAGGTCTTCTAAACTAGACGTGGTAGAAACATAAAGGAGATAGAAGCATGTTTGGATGCTTTATGCTACTTCTAAAGGGAAAAAGGAACTCAACTTGTGTTACTTTTGACGTTGTTGGTAATTGTTTCATGCTCTGATTTGGGTACCCTTGTTTTGGGGCCCATTGATTTAGGATCAGTTGTCAATTTTAGATTCTACGTGCTCATCTACCAAGCAACTCCCTGTCTAAAAATCAAAGTTGTGAAAATGAAATAAATAAATGTAAAATACAGGCGAGTAAAATTAGACAACTAAATACTTAACTAACACTCATTACTTTTCTTTCTATTTTCATCACATCGTATCACCAATAATAAATATTCATTTATCTATTTTATCTCGCACCAACTGTCTAACAACATTTTTGGGTTGTCCAAAAATTATTTTCCAAATAATCTAATCAGTGTGATTCAAATTATATAGGCTTCTGTTACTTTGCTCTGTTTTCAATTTTTTTCCAAAAGATGAAATTTAACGTCTTAGATTTGTCATCGACCCCGTGTTAATCGATTGACTTTCTAGATGAATTAGTGAACTATAAATCAAACCGATTTATCTGTTTCTCCGAAGTTAAACTTGAACTTTAAGTACTCTTGGATGATAGAAACCTTAATGACCACCCAACTAACATGCTTAATTGAAATATATTTGAAAATATTTTTATAGTATAATTTTAATTTAAAACTATATATTTAATTAAATTCATCCGGAGTTTTGCACTTGTTTCCCGCATCAACCTGCTTGAGGGGTTAAAGAAAAGAACTTCGCTTTTACGCTCATGCTCTATAATTTGAGCATCTCTCTCTCTATACCTGCGTAACAATCATAACAATGGAAAGAAAAAAGAAGGGGATAAAATCTTTCCCAAGCCTCAAATCGTAATTCTAAATAGAGGTGATATATTGACAATTTACTAAAAATATTACCATCACATTGATTCAAATACGAGGCCATATTAATCTTTAAGAGGCGAATGCAATGTGTAATGTGTTAATGACGATTGACAAGAGACTAAAATAGTTTTAAAAAAAAAAACAAGTAGTTATTTTCAAATTAAGGACAAAAAAATATTTATTAATCTGGAGAAAAAAAAAATTGTTCCAAATTTAATATGTCAAAAAATATTTAATCCTTTTTATAGTTAAAAAAAAATAATAATTTTAAAGAAATAATATTTCAAATAATTCCGAAGCATTATTTAAGAGAAGGAAATTTGTGAAGATTTCTTGGCTAAGGAGGGTGACTGCATGAGTTTTTTATTTATCAGTCACCGCCTGTGGGGTTATTGCCATTTTTGCAAGACGACTTGGCAGGGTTTTGTTTCTTTTTTCCTTTTTTCTTATGTACCCCATTTATGAAATATATAGAGAATAATTAAATAAAAAATTTAATAATTTATAAAATAAAAATAATTTCCAAACATAAAATATTTTGTACAAGGGTTCACAATATTTTTTCTATAACTTGATTAAACGAATGAAAACATAGAAAAATAATGTATAAATCAAAGTAATGTACATATTTTTATTTGAACACAACTTTGACAAGAAAACATATTGAAATAAATATTTAACAAATACAAATAATCACTAAGATTAGAATTCTACTCCAATGTCATACTAATTAGAGAAAAACTTTTATTTAGACTTCTCCTTCATCAAACACATCCTTTTATACTTGTTTTAGTCCTATAAGTGACATTCAGCCCAAACACATACAAATACAGGGAATGAAAATACATATACACAACATATATAAGACATAATGGTAAACACACACATCCATAACATCAATAATGTCTCACACACAGATAAGTATCCTACCAAACATCTACAATAATCATCTTTATACATTCATTCCTCATTCATGACCAACAATTCACACAACATATATCAATTACAAATTAAGACTCGTGTGATGAATGCTCCTAACTTTATATACATGTGGTACCAATATCCTCATAATCATTGACAATACAAAATAGCATAGGATTCATGGAATGGGACCACTCCATTGAATAGTGTAGGGATCACTCATCAATAGTGATCCCCCAAACCACCTCAACCAAGAAATGTCTATTAGGATCTTGTTGAAGTGTTATAACTAGCTATAGTAACTTTACATTCCCGTTAGAAGTTTTCCCACCATAACACCTCCCAGGACATTTGTAAATGACTCACATTATCCCATAAACAAAGTATGTTTGCATGAATCACATCATTAACATACAACAATCATTTTCCTCATTTGCCAATTCACAACGCTAGACTTAACCATCACATCTCATCACATTACTCATAGTAACTCAACGCATCATGTATCAATATAATTCTCATATATTAATTCCATCTCATATGCACATCATCATTATTGTACATTCTCACCATTCATTCATCACATATTATAAAATTCATCATTATAATATCATTAACATAATATATCAATCATAATATCATTATCATTGAACCTTAAACATCATCGCACACCATAAATTATTATTACTCATATCAAATATAAGTACTTAAAGAACAACTCACAATTACAACTCTTAAATTATTTCTTCTTATCTTGAGTTTTTATAACATTGTGTGATTTAAATGTTATATCTATAGTTATACCTATGATGTCAAGTTGATATTAATTTTATTAGAAATCTAAGATAATTATATACAGCTTCTATGCTGACTTCAATAGTTGATTTTATCATCTATTATTTTTAAAAAATTATATTACCATAATATTTAAGCTTAAATATGATCATTTGACCTTTACTCACTAATTTGATCATAAATTTAGTTTTAGACTTCCTTTTTGGGTGATTCTAGTGCTGTTGAAAAGCTAACATCCAAGCATAGAACTCTTATGAATACCACGAAACTTAATTTGGTCATCTAAGAGCCCTCATAGTGCTTACAAGTTTTAGACATTAAGTTTTGCGCATAGAACATGAGACTCATCACATAACTTAATTGTGTCTTAATATTTTTATATGATTCTTGAGTCTAAACTATAGCCCTAAAATGTCTAGTTTCTAATCCAGCAAAAAGAAATCTATTTGATTAATCACACAAAGAAAAATCACCTAAATATTGAGATATGTTCATATTAAAATTTTTAAAATTAAACAAACTACACCAAAACTCTCAAATCACACATATAGCCCTAACCCCTAATATATCTATACACATCTTTTTACTTTAATTCTCAATTCAATTAGTCAAATACTTGTTTGTCACTTATATATCCATTCATCATCATCAAATCATGCAAAACATTCAACCAAATCAAAAGCTCCAATTTATCCATCACCACTTCATTTCAACACCAATTTCAATACAACATGAATTAACACATGAATTCATAGAGTAGAATGGGAGTAAATCATCAATTTATTCATATGCCTTTACACATATTAAATTCATCAACTTAAGAGGCTTAGGGATTGTCATTATACTTTTATCCCTCATATATGTCCAAAGGAATTAATAATCTCACTCCCCTTTACCTAGAGAGACGATTCTGGTAAAATAACGCTCCTCCAATAGCTTTTGCTACTAATTCGTGCCTAATTAGTGGTCTCCTCTACGTTACCTTTTGTGAGTGTTGTAGGTTTTTCAGAAGGTGTGTAATGACCTATCCTTCTCTTTATTTTCTTTTATTGAATCTAGCTCAAAATTTTTCGATTTACCCCTTCCTATTTTATTTTTATTAATAAAAAATTTCTCTTATAGTATTCTAATTATTCCAGTTTTTTTTAAAAAAAATAGGATGTTGCAGCTTGTGTCAGGTATCGGAATAGATGAGCAACAAAATGAATCTTTACTTATTTTCTGGAGACATTGCTACATGACTTGATTTGATAGGAATAGTTTAGGGCCTAGGTCAAGTAGAGAAATAGTTCAGTAGCATGCCAAACACTTTAAGAGGTTTCAAGTGTAATGACATGTATAAAGTAGTTGGAACAATGAAGAAAGCAATCTTGGAGGGTCAACAAGGATGGAAGCCTTGACCATTTACTTTGGTTGTATGTGAAAAACAAAGGAGGTTTAGAGTTGGCATTATTTCTCTTCTACTACCCATGATAAATTATTAGGTTATGTGCATGGTGAAATCCTAGAAACAAATGCCTTAAATTTGATGAAAGGAGATAATCATCTAAAGACTAATCAAGCATGAAGATTTTTTTAATAGAATTTCTTACACATATCATGATTTATTTTTCTCTTTTGAAGTGTTATGAGGACATGTGTATATCTCTGTTTTAATTTTGTAAATATTGTTGCAACTTAGCAACTTTTGTGATCATTTTAGATAGAAATTTCTATCTCGATATAATTTTGCCATAAAATTTTAGTCATGTTTAAATGATCGATCTTAATC